TTTTTTCCGTATTTCATAATGTGTATGCGTATGCGGATTGCTCTCTCTTTATCATATCGGTAGCCATATATATATATATATATATATATAGTTCTAACCCCTTCTGGAATGGTGTGCTTTGCCTCTGAAGTAGTGTGAATACTAGCGCATCAAGGCATGAGGTTCGAGTTCATTGTCTGCTGCCGTTCCAGTTGCCGTACTATTACTGTCGGACAGGTTCGCTCATTCTATGCAGATGCTCTTCGGTATTGCACAACGATGGGTGCAAATGCAGCACCTGGCTATTCGTCTGCGCCATTTCCGAACGAACTCAACTCGATAGACTAATGCCGGTGTTCCCAAGTAGTATCGCAATGTTGGTATTTTTATGGTCAACCAGAACAGCTTGCCTCATTGACAGCCCTAGGTTGATATCGGAAGGTGACTTGGTTCAGACTAATCCTGCAAGTCTTGAATCCGCGGTTGCTGACAGCGACAACAATTTCGCTTCACCGATCGTAGGGAAGCTCATGGTCTGGAAAGCTGTTCGCGAACGACGCGGAACCTTTGAACGACTTGTGACTGTTTGGTGGTTGTTTTCCCAATTTGCCGGGAAATGGAATGGGTACTGCTGTGCTAGTGGGTTTGAATGCAGGTGTAGTTCGAGATGCGACGCCACATTATTTGTCCGATCACGACGCCACCACTGGAGATCCTTCCCGTGACCGACTATGTCCTTTGCTTGCGACTATCATTTATTAACCAAACGATAAGCCCATCCGTAGTTTTCTATGGAGGCTGTCCTCGACGACGTAAAGGGTCGTATCAACTTGTGTTCCTGAATCAGCTGTCTTTCGCACACGAGCTTGCCGTGATGGTGCCGGCCTGGAAGCTCTCTCCAATGGTTCCAAGAGGTGGTCTGAAAGAACGAGAGGTGGAGGGGTCAACTGCAGCATCGGGAACACTTGCAACTGCACAGGCCGTGCAGCATTCATGATCATTATCGTTTATGCGCCTCTGAGATCGTTGATTGTGTCCGGCGTCTGCGAACTATTTGAGGACACCTAGTATCGTAACGGAACCTAGCATTTGACCAACTGTTCGGATCTGTATATTGGATTCAATCATAGACACTGTCGCTCCGCTAAAGAGGACTTGCAAAGGCTGAACGTGGTGCTCGAATCGCTTGTACGGTAATTCTCTGCGAGCCAGGACTATGGGTTCAGACCTGTCTCAATAACTTGCACTACACCGCATGTATTTTCTTTGTTCCCTTTTGTAACATTAATTTCCTTTGTATGTGGGGTCTGAAAAAGCCCTGAGCCTAATCCGCGTCACACAAGAGATGCGGGATTTGACGGGTTTGGACGAAGACACATAGTCCTCTATAGGTGCTGCCTGCGGTGGATATAGGACCAAGACGGTGTGTTATGAACAGCGTCCAATTGGCCTACTTTTCACATGATCCATTTCTTCTCTGTCCCGCAGAGAATGTTACTTGTAAAATAATTGAATAATCTTGCTGAAAAAGAAGTATAGATCAAAAGCGGTTTCTTTGCCACGTTTAATGCATGCATAGGCGTAGGGCTGATCGAACATTCAATTTCCTTTTTTTATTGCAGTTCCAATTGTTCGTGTTTAGTTTCCACTAAGTGCATAGCCTTGTGTCGCGTGGCGCAATAATAATACACTCGCAGAACGACATTACCATCCAAGCACACTCGCACCCATCCATACCCACACACCGCAGCCAAGTGCATCGCCCACGACAGCCGCCTCCACACGCCACCGAATGCCTAACCCGCGCACCGGCCTGCGGGTGTCCGCGCTGACCGCGGCCGCTGTCCTGCTCACGCTGCTTGTCGGGACCCCGCTGATCGCTGCGGGGCACCGTTGTATCTTCGACAAGATGCAGCGCCTGCAGCTGGCGACCGGCACCAGTGCCGTCCCCGAGGTGGGGGACCGCGGTGCGCCGCCGCGGCAGGGTGCGGAGCAGCATGGCTGGTTCACCCCCCCTGACCTATGGGAGCCGATCCGCATCTCGGTGTTCACCGAGGACCTCGACGACAGCTCCCGCTACTGCACACAGCCTGAGGAGATGAAGCCTAACTTCAAAGGCTCCATGATGCAATGCAATTCCGATAACGTTCTCACCGATGAAAAGAAGCAACTGCTGCGTAAGAAGATAATCCCCGACGCAGTGCAGATGCACAAGGACCGCCTGCTGGTGCAACCGGTCAGAGACAACATCTTTGTTGAACACTTTACACTTGGACTCTGTTCTCAGTTTACGATTCCCCAGTCCCACCACACCACCGGTGTGCCGGATACCGACTTCGTGCTGTACGTTGCAGGGGGACCAAATGAACCTGGTACTATCGCATGGGCAGTTATGTGCCAGTTTGACCGCAACGGCCGCCCCTTGGTGGGTGTTGCCAATATTGGGTTTGTAGACACTATTGATATTCTTTATTCCATACATACATTGGCACACGAGATACTGCACGCGTTGGGATTCTTGTTTGATGTTTTCGAGAATAGAAACATGGTCAATACTGTGTCTGTTCGCAATAAGCCAGCAAGCTTTGTTCTGTCCTCGCCCAAAGTGGTGGAAGTTGCGAGGGCTCATTACGGGTGCCGTATCATGCAGTACGTGGAGTTGGATGACACGGGTGGTAGAGGGTCTGCGTCTTCACACTGGAAGATGCGCAACGCAAAGGATGACTTGATGTCTCCTATGAAGGGTGGATTTTTCTACACTGCCATCACCATCGCAGCGATGGAGGACACGGGCTACTACAAAGGCAACTACCGCAATGCTGAAAGCATGGCATGGGGTAAGAATGCCGGTTGTGTGCTCTTTGATAAGAATTGCGTTATTAACGGTGTGTCGCAGGTGCCGGAGATGTTCTGTGACAGTAAAACTTCTTTAATAAGTGAGCTTAAGTGTACATCAGACCGGATGGGCATTGGAGACTGTGCGATATCATATCATTCTACCTTGCCAATATTATTCCACTACTTCCCCGATACGACAATGGGTGGCACTAATCCCTTGATGGATTACTGTCCATTCATAGAAGCATATTCAAACACTATGTGCCTAAATGGGAATGAACGAACGCTGCCCGGTTCTGTGTTTTCAGAATACGCGCGATGCTTTTCAGCACTCCCGAGCACTCCCCTCCAGATAAACTATGGGAAAAATATGCTCTCTATTTGTGCGGATGTTCAGTGTGACAAGGACACCTCGAGATACCGGGTGCGGGTGAAGGGTGCGACTGATTTTGTGGACTGCCCACCCGGAAGCACTCTTGTGCTCTCGGAGTACAGTACCGAGTTCAAGTCTGGTGCGATCAAGTGTGTACCATACGAGGAGGTGTGCCCCAAGTCCCTTTACCCCGACAATGAGAGTGTCATGACGACAAAAACAACTACGCCTCATTCTGTACGAGTAAAGGCGCGTACTAGTTGGCTCACACGCTTGTGGCGGCCATGACTGCTATGAATGTTTTGCTCAATAATTACAGCGGGCAATGTGTGTGAAGAGGGTGAGCCGCAGGAAACATGCACCAGACAAGGATGTATAACGGTAAAATTGTGGCAGGTGCCTATAAGCTGACTCGATATCTTTTTTTTCATTGGAATTGTTTTCCTTCTTTTTCATTTCATTAAGCAGACAAATCTTTTTTTCCTTATATATATATCAATTGCCTTTTTTCCTTTAGACGTACGATAGGTATTCTTTCCTTTCTACGTGTAATTTTAAAATTGTGTCTAATTAGGAGTGAGTAAACCACCGACTGAGTCGGTTTAAATATGTATACACAAGACATTAAAAAATGCTCAAGAAAAGCTGTATAACTAAGGGACAAGTGTCGTTTGGACACTTGTGGATTAAGGGAATCATAACGAGTAGAACGGTGCCGAGGTAAACACTTTGATACAGTGTCCTCGTTTTTGCATTAGGTAAGTTAATTTCTTTTTACTGTTAAATCAATAAAAATATATTATTTACGAGAAATAGCACAGGAGTATATGTTAATTAAATATAATATCCTAACAGAAACAATGCCAACATTGCTGATTCCTATTCACTCTTGTTGTGGTACTTTATTATTGAAACTTCCATCGTGAGTGTAAAGGGTGCGGTGCAGCAGGATATCGTACCCGAATTGCATAGGCACCTGGTGACATCTGAGCGACCCCCCTCTCTTCTTCTTCCCTTATTCGTCTGTGTTGCGTCGCGTGGCGCAATAGTAATACACTCGCACAACGACATTACCATCCAAGCACACTCACACCCATCCACAAAAATACAACGACTACACCCACCCGCCGCCGCCACACGCCACCGAATGCCCAACCCACGCACCGACCTGCGGGTGCCCGCACTGACCGCGGCCGCTGTCCTGCTCGCGCTGCTTGTCGGGGCCCCGCTGATCGCTGCGGGGCACCGTTGTATCTTCGACGAGATGCAGCGCCTGCAGCTGGCGACCGGCAGCAGTGCCGTCCCCGAGGTGGGGGACCGCGTGGCGCCGCCGCGGCAGGGTGCGGAGCAGCATGGCAGCATCACCCCCCCTGACCCATGGGAGCCGATCCGCATCTCGGTGTTCACCGAGGACCTCGACAACAGCTCCCGCTACTGTACTCAGTCCGGGGAGATGAGACCTGACTTCAAAGGCTTCATGATGCAATGCAATTCTGATGACGTTCTCACCGATGAAAAGAAGCGGATACTGCATAAGCAGATAATCCCCAAGGCGATACAGATGCACAAGGACCGCCTGCTGGTGCAACCGGTCAGAGACAATATCCGTGTTGAAAACTTCACGGGAGACGTTTGCTCTCAGTTTACGATTCCCCAGTCCCACCACACCACCGGTGTGCCGGATACCGACTTTGTGCTGTACGTTGCGGCGGGACCAACTGAACCTGGTTATCTCGTATGGGCAGTCCTGTGTCAGTCTGATTCTAGAGGCCGCCCCTTGGTGGGTGTTGCCAATATTGGGTCCATGAACACTATAAATATTCTCTTTTCCACACGTACCCTGACTCACGAGATACTGCACACGTTGGGATTCGACTTTCAAATATTTAAGAAAAAAAATATGGTTGATACTGTGTCTGTTCGTAATAAACCACCAAGTTACGTTCTATCCTCGCCCAAAGTTGTGGAAGCCGCGAGGGCTCATTACGGGTGCAGCACCATGCAGTATATGGAGTTGGAGGATGTTGGTGGTACTGAGTTTGTTGGCTCACACTGGAAGATGCGCAACACAAAGGACGAATTGTTGGCTCCTGGTTCAACTGGAATTTTCTACACTGCCATCACCATCGCAGCGATGGAGGACACGGGCTACTACAAAGGCAACTACCGCAATGCTGAAAGCATGGTATGGGGTAAGAATGCCGGTTGCGTGTTGTTTGATAAGAACTGCGTTATTAACGGTGTGTCGCAGGTGCCGGAGATGTTCTGTGACCGTAATATACTTTCAATAAGTAAATTAAAATGTTCATCAGACCGGATGGGCATCGGAAACTGCATAATGAAGTATTTTACTACCTTGCCAACATATTTCCAATATTTCTCCAATCCGGCATTGGGTGGCTTTGACGATTTGACGGATTACTGTCCGTACATAAAAACATATTTAAACACTATGTGCCTAAATGGGGATGAAGAAACGCTCTCTGGTTCTGTGTTTTCAGAATCTGCACGATGCTTTTCAGCTGTCCCAAACACTACCCTCCAGATAAAAAATGCCAATACTTTTTCCATCTGTGCGGACGTGCTGTGCGACGAGGGCAGCTCGAAGTATCAGGTGCGCGTGAA